CGTCTTGTGAAGTGACTTGTGAGGGATTCGATTCCAACACTGTTTCATAATTTCAATTACAGACCAAGAAAAAGGGCCACATAGACTGAAATGACAGCAACAATACCAAACACTTTTAATGCATATATATTTGGTTGGATATTCAAACTGGATATTTTACAGTCTTAATAATGAGAGATACAGTGTTCAGATAGAGCCAGAGAAAGATCAGCGAGGGAAAATTAAAGTCAACAACTTGTCATCTCTTACACATTGGATTAGCTGCAGTGCTCTTAAGTGTGTTTCGAAAAAGTGAATTAACTCCCATTGGTGTGAGACCTGTGAGCCAATTGTCTCCCCTCGTCGACCCCCTCCCCTTTTCCCCCCTCTAGGTGGACCATCCAGTTTCTCACGTGGATATAAGGCATCCCTTACAATAACATTACACCCGATTAGCAGCGTTAAGCCCTTGACTAAAGATAGCAAGCCCAGTGAATCAGGCAGGGCCCCCGTTGTGGTTTTTGTGGTCTCTCTGAAAGACTGCCATGCCTATTGCCTCGGTCAGACCGAGTGTGTGCATTCCGTTGCGTATGTTTCCATCTATTACCTCCGCATCCCCCCCCATACCTGTAGGCTGTTTGCTTTTTTTGGGGGGGGGGAAGGGAAGATGCTGTTTTAACATCTTTGGGGCTTGAATAACATGGATGTTGCAACACCCTCTGATCGTTAAGCCCCCCTTACCCTATTCCTGGGGGGAGGGGTTGACAGAAAATTGACAAGACGAAAGTGACAAGAAGATTTATCTCTTTTTTCATTTTTGTTGTCTCATTTTCGAGATTCCTTTAAATGCGACACCCAAATCCCCCAAAACCGTTTTCTGGCTTCCACATAATCCGGTCTAATCAAATGAAAGGACGACTTAACAGGTTATTTAATAATCACAGAATTGTTGTGTTCTTTAAGGTGCAAGTTGATGTAATTTTTTAATAATCATGCACCAGCACTTGGTCGGGAAGAGTTGCCCAATTACAAATCCTGTGGTTCGGTTAAATGGAAAAACAGCATATATAATGAAACTGAAACAAACAAGATACAACGGAGCTATAGAAAGTGACCAGTCGCGGCATTGGAATTAGGAGAAATCACAACAGCGTCCCCAAGGGCCAAAAGGAGCGAAAATTGGGGGGGGGGAATAATGACAGATGAATCTTCAGTCCATTTCATTTCCCTTTGTTCTTAAACTAAAGGGTGTAAGAAGCCCCAAAATGTAGCCTCAACCCTCGCAAAGGCCATAAAAGGCAACAAAAATCCCAACTTTTTAGCCCCCCAAAATGTCCCCCCCCCAGAAAATTTGGTCTTGGATCCGCCCTTGTGCAACCCAAACTAAACAGTCATAAAAGGGCCTGCATATGGCATGGACCCCCATCTAAAGTACAAGGCGATAAAAATCGATCGGGTGGGGTGAATGATAATTGAATTATGGCAAGCTTAAGTGAAGGGGGGGTCCCTATGCATTGCTGCGTGGCCACTCTTAATAATTTATGCTGCACAAAGTCGGGTTCATGCGTACTTGTTTGGGCAGATTTTGCCAACCTAGTTTGGTTTTTTTTTTTAGGGAGGAACACTGTTTTCAAAATATGACCAGTTCCCATATTTTCTTTGGTCTGTTTTGGAATACCTGGTCATTGCATATACCGGTACTTGATAAACAAATTTTGCCCTGGGGTAGAAATGCTGAAGTTACTCGGAAATGTGTCAGGGTCATGTATAGAACATTTTAAGACTCGGGGTGCACAATGCGAATAGAAACTAAAGTCACAGGTGTAGCGCAGAGCAGATGTCAAAATGGGGAAGGGAAGTGGGACTTGTAAAGTCAAAAGTGTGTCCACTTGATGTGAGGAGTTGTTTTGATGCCAGTCTCATGACTTGATGGCTGTCATTCCCCAAACATCGCATAAAATATCTGAGATTGCTTTCCTTCAAGGAGAGGTCATAAGACAGAAGTTGTTTTTTTTTAAGTTTGGGCTTGGATCCGCCGTCCTTCCGGTATCAGAACTGAAAAAAAAAATAAGATTTTTTATTTTGAGAAGTCTCAGATCCGCCAACCAGCAATTAACCACAATAAATATTTTAAGAAGATTTTTTTTCCGCTCTGCTGTCCAACCAACAGGGAAGTCCCTGATTTAAATTTTGTGAGCCTTGGTTCTAAGCGGCTAGAGCAGGGTACATCTCTTTTGGGGGTATTCTTCCCTCTGACTTGAGGACCCTTCTTTGGTTTTTCTTGAGACCATAGAAAATACTTTTTTTGTTTTTGTTTTTTCTGTCCTCTAAAATTTGTCCTAAAAAAAATCTGAGCAGCAACTTATAAAGAAATGCGCACCTAACTGAGAAAGATTTCATCAAAAATTTGTTTTGCATTCCATTCTTGCTTTTACTGCCCAGAGCCTAGAAATGTAGACAAGATGAAATGTACTTTGTACTTTTACACCAAAGACCACAGTTGTAGAGCTATTAAAAAAAAACAGAAAAAAAAAATTGTTTTGCCACAACTTCTGCAGTTTCACCATGGTTTCCTGAAATTGTCAACACCCCCATACTTACATGTATGTGTGAGATTTTAATGACAAAATATTGAAGCCGCAGCTGTTAAGTGTTTTTAAGACTTACGGCCTTGCCTCATTATATATCTTTTTCTTTGTGCATAGAAAAGAGCAACAGTGCGCTGGCAATGCCTGGAGACACAGTCGGGACAACAGTCTCCCCACACCGGAATTCAAACCCCAGTCCCAGCCCGGTACCCTCCCAGGACCCTCAGGATGTCAAGGCCCCCACTGGCCCTTCACCGGTTCCCTCAACTTCGAGTTCAGTGTCCTCGCACCAGTCTCCAAGACGATGAGAAGATCAATGATCAACGAGACTAGTAAAAAAAAAAGAAAGGTGAGTTCCACATACGCGTATTTGTATTGTGGCATTGTTAAGATCGTAATTGAACCTCTTACCGGGACATAGCTCTTACCTCGTGTCCTGATAGCTGTAATTGTAAGCCTTGGATGACCGTAATGGAGAGATTAGCATGGTTCCGTTTATACGGTAACGGTGGGAATGCACCAGATTTGTCGTTTATTTGCAACTGGAAATTATCCCTGCCTTAGAAAAGCACAACACAAAAAGGAGATCAGCGTCCAGTTAAAATGGGAAGCCTGAGATGTGAATTGGTTATCTTTGTTGGGTTTTGCCGGACTCCTCTGGGTGTTAGAGGCTAAAACTGCATGTACCTTGGGAATTGGGGGCAGACGTCCCTGAGCAAGGTGTTTTTGCTATGATTTCTCCATCCCCGTTTTGATATTATCCTGCTTGCGAGTACAGACATGGTTGTTTGAACTTACCTTAGTGGTTACCCATGGAATGCTTTATGCTTTCTAACGAATTGCGGTTTTAGCACAGAATTTTTATAAAGTACGTGTTTCTTGCTTTACTGAAGTCCTTGATGGAGAACACATGAAAAGTGTTGTCAGGTCACTCGGGTGAGAGCACTTCAGTGACCATTCCATTGTCCACTCATGCTTCTGTCGTTCTAACATGCAACATATTTTTTACACATTCAGTCACAAAAGGACCTGTGAGTCATGCTATTCGTGTGCAGGTTTTGAAACAAGGTCCATGTATGTGGTCGAGTATGCACCTGCACCGAGCCTTTGTTGTGGCGCTTGGTGCCTCGGTGGAGGCCAGTATGAATGAAAACTAAAAAACAAATTCAGTCATGCCAGTCTTGTTCCGAGTTATCCTTTGCTGTTGAGCTGTTCTCATTGGAACCAAATAGGCATACAGTTTTTGTCCCTCCACAATGTCCAGTTTCGGATACATTCCCTTCCCAGTTTATTGACAGACCTGGGAGATGGGATCCCACTTACTACTTGTTTTACATAACTTAAATGCAGAACTAACTCTAACCACAGTAGCAAGCAAAGTCATCCCGTCTGTCTGTGACCAGGTGCGCCCAGTTTCATTAGTCAGGCACCACTTCCATTAGAACTGATAAAAGTGGGAAAGGAAAGGGGGGGGGACTCGTGAACCAAAATTGTGTCAGTGACTCACAGAATCAATATGAATATGCCTATTTGGCTTGACTACCTGCATTTCTAAGAACTGCTTGGGAGAGGGAGCTTTTAGGGAGTTTCTGTGTGCCAGTTTTTCTAATGGAATTTTGCTTGTTCTGCCACTGTGAAAGATATGTGAAAGTGTGATCCTTAATTTAGTAGATTTATGGCAGCGGTTCATTGTTGGGGGGGGTTGATTTCTTCAGTTGTTTATTGCCTCAGGTGGTACTTTCTTCAGAAGACCAGAATATGAGCATGAGTGAGGCAGGAGTAAATTTCAGATTTTTTTTTTCAGGGATGCATTTTTGTCCTGCCGTGTGTCATACAATTCTCCATTGATATGTTGGACTTTCCAGTGATTGCAAAGAAGCCTCACACCCGAACTTATCCGATCATACCAGTTGGCTTGAAAAAGAAGAAAATTGTCATTGTAGGTTGCCTTGCTCGAGAACACAAAATTGGTTTGCATGATTGCTTGGATGATCTTAGATTCTGCACCAGTGGTAACTGGTTGTTGGCTTTTCCATACATGATATAGAGTAAATCCTATATTCCTATCAGTTTAGTAAACAGACCGAGATAGAGCAAATTATTTTTCCCTTTTTTTTAACATGTGAATGGTGCTGTTTTGTCCAGATGAGGGAATTTCAACAAAATCACTTGTTTTCCGTGTAAGGTCAGACTGTATGAACTGTCATTTTTATTGTCGTATCTTAATGCCCATCATATTTTAAAACAATGGCAGTCAAATTAACTGTAGATTATTCTCCATGAAAGTGTTTGCTACACTATACATAGTCCAAGATGATATTGATAAGCAATCACGGGGTCATCGCTCGACTCAATTAACGCTAAAGCGTGGATTGATAGCATCAGAACTCTTGTTTTTCTCTTCTCTCTCTCTCTTTTTTTCCCTGGCAACTTCACAGCCTAGCGAGGTTACCACAGTCACCATTTGGGTAGAAATCTTAATTAGTGTTAAGTGTTGAGAGTGGGGAAAGCTAAGCTCAGGAGAGTACACAGCGCACCTGGGTGCCTGGCAAGATCGTGCAGTGGATTTATTTTTGCCTCCCCCCCAAGTGCAGTCTTCAGATTCGGACATCGAAGCACGGTCTAAGATTGTACCTCGATGCAAGACGTGTCCTTACAGGACTGGAAAAAAGACAGCTTTGAGTAATGAGATGCTGATCATTAGGAGAATAGACACTTCTCTTTCGATGAAAATTGGGGAAAAATCCCAGAGTAAATTTCAGTAGAATTTTTGTGGATCTTGTCTACCATGCCAGAGAAGATGAGGTAAATCAGTACCCTCACTTATGTGTACTCTACAACACAATTATGGTAACAACTTTACAGACTGTGGAAATAATGGGCATTTCTTGGTAGATCGCAAATTAATTATGCACCTTTGTTTCTCAGTTAACCCCATTTCTCAATGTTAGGTTTATTACTAGAAAGGGCATTGTGGCACCTTTTTGGTTTTTATGCTCTTTTAAGTATTTCCATAATCATGAGCATAACGGTGATGTCATCCCACGTAGAAATTCTGGTAATTTAAATGTGTAAACTGCAATTTTCAGTGCGTTTAACCTGACAGGGATGTCAAATAGTTTGCCACACAGAAGACGAGAGTAAAGTTGCCGAAAAATTGTGTCAAAAAAAAAGAATTCAGTGCTGGTACACTTCTAGGCTAGGTCGTTCATAGCATGCATGGGCACACATGGAGATTAGACCCAGAGCTCTGGAAGCCCTGTTGTTTATGGACAAAGCCTAACCTAACTCCCCTCAGATCATTCAGAAGTATATACCTGGAGGGTTTTGGAGGATTTCTTTTAGGATTGAGGAATGGAGCCCAGCCACTGTGGAGCTTGATGCCCCTTGATGTCAAAGCACCAAGAGTGCATCTTCGGTTTCCTGGACAGTGATATGTTTCAGAAGATGCAGGAAGGTTCCTTCAGCTAGAACGTTGGGGAGTTGAGGTCAGAGAGTTGAGTCTAAAAGCTTGCATGCACACAGGCCAGCTAGTCTTAAGCTGATAGGCTATTGTTTGCTGACAGACAGCAAATGTGATGGATTGGTTTCATCTCTCTGAGGTGGAGCCAGCAGGAGACATGGCATCCGCAGCGGAGGCCGCTCACTTACGCCAAACTGACTGCCTGGCGTATTGGGGCCAGTCCAGTCGCACCGGTCGTAAGTCATTTTGTGTGATGAACTAAAAGTGTTTTAATCAATCTCACGGTCCCACTCTGTTGGGTTGATGCATTCATTTGAGCTGTGATTGTGAAGAGCCCGTCACACGGCTTCTTAGAGGAAATATTTCAGAAGAGTCTGGGCTTTTCCGCAACATGTCAAAAAGCCAATGAAACTGGCTGAGAAGTTTGAATTTTTCTGTGACAGAACTTGCTTGCCAATAAACATCATGCATTTTGTTTTATTTCTCATCAAATAATGTTTAATGCATGGTTGACGGTACTTACAAATTTTTAAGAGTGTGTAATACATAACATAAAATGAAGCCAGATTAGATTCTACAGCGTTAGTCTCCAGTGTTTAGGCTTCAGAGAATTTCAAGGGACATAAGAATCCTATTGGCCCATACATCTCCGTTCCTCCAGCAATTAAAGGACTGCATTGTCAGTAGTGCGGCGCTAGACCAGTCAACACCCCCCCCTTTTTTTTTTTTAATGGGGAGGAACATTATGCAAAAAGAACACAAAAATTGATGACTCAGAACTCCAGCTGGTGCACGTGGTTCCCTTGAGAATGCGCGCGGTCGGGTGGCTGTCAATACACAGAGCGGCAGCAGACAGCACCCTCATGCAACATGAATGATGTCCCGCTCGCTAACATGAGCAAGGCAGTGTAGCGACACTCTGCTAGACAGCACCAGATACAGGGATGAGATATCTCAGCTTTTTAGCTGATTTCAGCTTTTTTGTTTTGGATTTCAGCTTTTTTTCCTCTTTAGCTGTGTACAAAAGTATAGGAGATTTTTACAGTTCAGCTTCTTTATGCCTTTTTTTTCCCGGCTGTTTTCTGCTATTTTTATCATTGGTCAATCTCATCCCTGTAGATACACACAACCAAAAGGCACTTTCATGACAAAGATTCCCCTCCCCATATTATATATATATATATAGGTACGCACAGGTGGAGAGCAGTTGGTGGGTACTCAACAAATGTGGGAGGGAGGGAGATTGATTAGGAATGGGTGATAAGCCTCAGGGTTAGGTAGTCCAAGGAGGGATTAAATGTGTGGCAGTGTGTTATTGTTCACACTTGTCTCTCCCCTTGCCCCTCCCTCCTCGACTCTCCTTCCTTTATGTCTGTCAGGCATTGGCTTAGAAAGGTCTTTGCTGCTTTCATGGTCAATTTCTTTACCGTTAAGTTAATGAAGTGAACTGTTCTGCAGCTTAGGGGCCCATGTCAGTGCCAGAATCATGTGCCTCTTGCTAAAACACAGACGAGGGACTGTTGAGTAAATGTAAAATATCTTACTTGAAGGTCAGCAAAGAGCAGCTGTGGTGCTAAGAATTTGTTGCACCTGAAAATACCGTTATTTTCATTCTGCAGCAGTTGGCCAGACAAATGATCATTTTAACAATGCATTATTTTTACTTCAGAAATACTCCAGCCATTGATAGGTACCATGTAGTGATTGACCTTACCGACGAATTGTACACATACTCAGAAATGGCTTATATAATAGTCCATGGGGTTTTATGAGACAAATTAAGCAAGCTGCATTTTGACTGTTGTAAACGGGTGCCACGTTGTTTGGGATATTTGACAGGAGTAAACTTGAATCGTGGAACTCAAAGTTAACAGACAAAAATTACA